CGACCTTCCGGGACAATCCTATCGAAGCAACATACCGACCTTTCGGGACAATCCTATTGAAACGGCATACCGACCTTCCAGGACAATTCAAATTTTCGGGACAATGCTACCGAGATTTTTCGGGACAATGCTACTGGTTTTTCGGGACAATACTATCGGTTTTTCGGGACAATACTACCGGTTTTTCGAGACAATGCTGCCGGTTTTTCGAGACAATGCTACCGGTTATTCGGGACAACTCTACCGAGATTTCGGGACATATTTCGAGACAATTCTATTGATGTTTCCTGGCAATTCTATCGATATTTCAGGATAATTCTGTCGATATTTCAGTTCAGGACAATTCTACCGATGCAACCATTTTCTCAATTACCCATAGTTCAAAAATACCTTCATGGGCTCCTACCATTTAAAAAAATAAAAATAATACTCTTAAAAAGTTTCAAAACCCTTAGACAAAATGAGTTTAAAATCTTAGATGATTGAAGAAAGAGGGAGAATGAAAGAAAATAAATACCAATTATATCAGTGACATAAGTCAAACTTAAAAGAGTTTTAACTATAAAGAACAATAGTTGATTACCCATGCTAATGCAACAATTATTTCGAAGGAACCAAATATTAAGGCATTTTATCAAGGAAACCAATATTTCAAGGGTAACCAAACAACAAATACATCGAGCCATCGAACCCACCATTTCATAAAGACAAACACTCTAGGTCAACCAATATTTCAGGGTAACAATTATCATTGGCACAACCAATATTTCAAGCCAAGAAAATTACTAAGATGATCATTTTATACAGGCAAACTATTCTAAAGCGACCAGTTGATCTAGGTAACAACATTTTGTGCGGACAACAATAATTTCGAGGCAGCCTCCAATATTTTCGAACCACCAAATGTCGAGCCAAAATATTATCGGGCGAAGCAATATTTCTATTATGGGCACCAATGATCCGAGACAACCAATATTTTTATCAAGGACACCAATAAGACAACAATTATTTTGAATTAACTATTTGGTCAAAGCCATCACATTATCTCAAGGAAACAATTACTGAAGCAACCATAAACGAAGCAACCAATATATCATTGTGCTTCAATATCTCGGTAACTATTTTATAACGGCAACCAATATTTCTATTAATGGCACCAAGCGACACGCAGACATTTCGGGACAATTCTATCGAAGCGACATACCAACATTTCGGGACAATTCTATCAGAGCGACGTACCGACATTTCAGGACAATTTTATCAAAGCGACATACCGACATTTCGGGACAACTCTAATGAGGCAACCGACATTTCGGGACAATTATACCAAGGCAACCGACATTTCGGGACAATTATACCAAGGCAACCGACATTTCGGGACAATTATACCAAGGCAACCGACATTTCGGGACAATTCTACCGATGTTTCGGGACAATTCTATCGATGCAGCCATTTTCTCAATTACCCACAGTTCAAAATACCTTCATGGGCTCCTAAAATTTAAAAAATAAAAATAATACTCTTAAAAGTTTTCAAAACCCTTGGACAAAGTGAGAAATTTTAGACGATTGAAGAAAGAGGGAGAATGAAAGAAAATAAATACCAATTATATCCGTGACTTGAGTCAAACTTGAAAAGAGTTTTGACTATAAAGAACAATAGTTGATTGCCCAACCTGACATCACAAAACGAGTGTTAGAAATTAAACGACTTCTGCAATGATTGAAGAGAGAGTTGGCAATTCAAAGTACGAGGAAATTCAAAGCAGCTAAAGATCAGACCCCAAAAAAAAACAAGAAACAATATAAGATAGAGGCAATAACTGCAATAGATATAACAAGAACTCAAAAACAAACAAAAAGTAGAAAAATATGAAGGACATAACGAAAACCCAATTTTAAAAGAAAACAGAGCAGAGGACTTATATACGTAATATAAATTCAAGTCCAAGCTCCAGGATTAATTTTCATGTATCAAATTAGATCCTCATTCAAACGCAAGAACAGAGGACTGTGAAATTCGTATACTCCCTAGAAGAAAAAGGCAACAGAACTTTCTTATGGTTTCAATAGGTTGGAAGTGGAGTAGGGGTTTGGATCTTCCGCAAAAATCAGACCGCTGACCATTCGATTTCAGATCAAATTCAATGTTTTCTACAAGAGAGAAAACGGAAAATCTCGATTTCCACAATTAGATTCTGACCGATTCGAACACGAAGGCCACGAATCGACTTGAAGAAAAGGGAATCGAATGAAAAAGAAGGAAGGCGGAAATAAAAAGGATTAGGGTTTCGAGAGGTGGGCTGTAGATCACGGTCTGGATCTTCAATGGAACACATGAAAATAACAGAAATTCGCAAAAATCACACCGATATCCATTCAATTTCAGATCAATCTCAACGTGTAAGCCAAAGGAGAAAAGGAAAATCTTTATTTTCACGATCCGGTCCGATCGGGTTTCAAACATAGCCACCCTACGATAATTCAGACATCTAAAACTTAAACTTAGGAAGTGATCGAGAAGAATACCAAAGATCGAGAAGAAGAACGTCGAACCAGGATTTAGGGTTTGTGAGGAATGGGGGAGCGGTCGGAGGAAAGAGAGAGAAGAGCGCGGGCAGTACGCGCTACCCAACGGTCTTTATTTTCTTATCATAATTTTTCAAAATAAGGTGGAGCTGCGCGCTGGGCTGGGCTATGGCCGCTGGAGAGATAACATCTTGGGCCTGGTGCATTGTGTTTTAAGCCCATTTATATATTTAAAAATCCTTTTTAATTGGATTTCCATTTTATTATTAAAGTGACATTAATGCATTCTCTTTCTTTTCTTTTTTTTTTAGTTCAACTTTAATTTAATGCATTCTCTTTCAAATTTTTTTAATTTAAATAAATCATTGTCATTCCATATCCGTTGGATATTTCTTTTCATGGAAGACATTGAAACTTCTGAAATTTGAGGAGAAAATTGAAAAAATATCTCCAATTGACGACTAAATTATATAGTAAGCTTTCACCTATCTCGGACAATATTCTATATAAAGAGAGCTAGCATTTATTACATTCCCTGCTTAAAATCAGAGTTTTATATTCATATTCTGAAAACCAAATTACACCTTCCATTATTTAATTAGTTACAAATAATAAACTTATCAACTTCACAGTGAACACATAATTCCCCTATGAAAAAAAATTTTAAAAATAAAAATAAAATAAAGAGAGAGAGAGTGAAGAAGAAAAAAAGGATTACAGAAGTTGAAGCCAAATATAAGGAAAGAAAATCTAGATTAGATTAGATTAGATTATGATTTCCTCGGGGCGGTACCGAGGTTTGAGGAAAGGAAAGAAAAGGGTCACCAAATGGATTAGAAGGGCCAAGTTGCTGCATTTGTTGTTGTTGCTGCTGAGGGTACTGAGGCAACTGTTGTTGATAAGGTACCATCATCATGGAGTCATTTGGATGTTGCTGCTGATGCTGCTGTGGGAATGCGTTTGGTTGTAACTGTTGTTGCTGCTGGTGTTGTAAAAGCATTTGCTGCTGCTGCATCATTGCCATTTGCACGTTCGGGGGAGGCGCTACTCCGCTTGACATTGCAAACGGGTCGTGTTGGTGTTGTTCGAATGGATTCTGCACTGACATTTCGCCATATGTTCCATATCCTGCGTTCTGCAGCTGAAGATGTCTTCTGGCATGTTCATCTTCATACAAGCTATCGAGCAATAGCTTGTCGAACCCACCGGCCTGATTCACAACACACACTAATACTTATTTATCTCATAATATGAAACTTACAACACACACATGCTATCATTCGATCTAGAACATAACATAAATTCATATGCAAGTGCATTCGTTAAAACACTTGAGATCTAGATGAGATTTGCAAGCATCTTTGGTTTTTAATACCGGATATAAATTATTGACCTAACCAAAAAAAAAAAAACAACAAAAGCCACTTGATTTGAAATAGACTAATCATCCTAGCCACAGCTTTGATGAGAACAATGAATCAGAAAAGTGAAGGGAAAGATAAGAACCAGTTTGCTGTCGACCATTGGACCAGTATTATTGCTTGGTGTGGTAACAAGGGCTAGCTCCCAACCTCTAGTTCCACCGATGTCATGTAAAGCACGACTTGAAGAAGACGTATCATTCCCTGCATAGTTAAGAACTTTGGAAGATAAATGGACTGTAATTAACGACTAGAGACAATTTCTATAATTGCAACAATTGGAAAGTACTTGAATTTAAACTCTATATTAACTCTTTCAGTCAATATGCACATTGGTGTGCACATATACACAAATAAGATGTGCCATACTGAGTCCCTGATAGACTCCTCATGGAAAATAAGCAAGAAATTTCAAAATCAAATGGCAGCTGACGTACCAGGTGTAACTATCGCAAGAGCTAAAGCATTACTTTCCTCTATTTCTGCGGCTCTAGGATTTATTTCACTCAGACCCTGCATGGGAAGTGATCACTCCATGTAACAGGAGACAAAGTTCGGTCAGTCAAGAATATTTTATTTTGAGAAATCTTACCAGAAGATCACTAGTATTATCAGTTGCTATAAGAGGTGGAGGTTCTGCGACCTCCTCTTCCTTCTGTTGGGGTTCTTCCTCTGTTGCCACCAGTGGTTCGTCATCATCAACATTCTCAACCTTCTTTTCGGTTTCGGTGGGTTCTTCAGGCTCTTCTGGTTTGTGAGTCAATAGCTCTGCCTCTCGGTATTCCTGTCTCAAAAATGACAAGTCTAATGAAGACCATAGAGCAAGTTACAGCATTTATACAGTAAACTCACGCCCTAGAATCCTGATCATTTAAGAGAGGTCCATTAGCGTGTATTGGAATGACATTGGATCCAAGAAGTCAAAAAATTCTCCACAACATCCAATCCAACATTTTAATTCAACCAAGAGTTATGACAAGCCACTATATGGCTGAATTATATTTTCTTTGAAACCCTTGCGAAACTAATCTCTCTACTTTCCAGCTTATATGGCATCAAGGTCAAAAACTCTGCATCACAGTGATGCAGATATTGTAGATGCGTGTATGCTATTATGAAGTTGGAGCCATGCATTTACAGACATGCCACATTTGTACACGAGAGAATCACATGCTATATCCACAAAGTCAAGATAAAAACTTGAGGAATTGGGAAGTTTTCCTCACCAGTCTCTTGTTAACAGAACCTGTCTGTGGTGCCTCTCTTATATATTCTTCCATTGTTGCAAGAAATGATGGAGGTGGCTGTTGATTGCAGAAAGTGAATTTTTTAAGAATATTTTCTAGATTGGGGAATATTTTCTTCCCTTGTTTCAACTGTGTAAAAATTTCCCTTTTTGAATCCAAGGAAAGAAAGAAAGAAGAACCTGCTTCAACGTGGGAAACTGAAAAGTTCTAGCAAGTTCCAATCCCTTACAATATTCATAAAAATCTGCAAGATTTTCAGCCTAGGAACAAGAAAACCTGAAGAGTTAACCTTTTTTGTGCTGTATTTAATCCAAATGGTTTTCAACTGCAATATTATTTTTGTTCCATAGTCCATATTTTCATAGTCAGAACCAAAACAGAAAGTGAAAAAATAAGAGGGAAAAAACCTGGTTGCTGGCTCTTTTGTATATATTGAGAGCTTTAACTGCATCGTGCCTTGGCATATCAAAGAACTGTAAGAAGTCAACCCTAACCGTTATAACCAATAAATAAAATCGCACCATTGCTTTAGTCAAAAGCTAGTGGTATTCGGAGCATATTCCTACCATGTCCACAAGATTTATTATTCCGTCATTTATCGCACAATATATCTTAAAGCTCTCTTTAAGTACCTTCATAAAATAAAAGTCAGAACAAGAAAAATCCAGAATGAGTAACATATTTGATATGTTTTATGTAATAGATAAATATAATTGCCAAAAGAAAGCCCAAAACTAGAACAACAGGGGAAAACAATTGATAGTTTCTTGATCACTTTCCCGTGAAAAAGGTTGAGAATGAAGTTTTCGCTCTCATATGTTTTCTTGATATGAGATGAGCATAAATGTAGTGCACCTAGAATTATGTAAGGGCTGTACGTGTAATCCCCTCCCAGGTAGTAAAAATCAACCCTGATCTAGATTCATAATTGCACGGTCAAGACAGGATTAAATCTTGGGGGATGGCTATAATCTATAAAGCTTCCAGAGTACCTTAAAGCATTAAAATTAAATCATACAAGCCTGTCAAAATCCATATCAAAATATAAAGTCCAAGTTCAAGAGACCATGTAATAAGATAGACAATATGGAGGTGAACATCAACAATTTTAAGATGTTATAGTAATTATGTTTCTGCTTTCTGCTAGATAAAAAAAGACTTCCAGTTTAATGTAAAGCAAAGAATAAAAATTAACGAATTGTTCATAGATAGCCTACTTTCACTTTCAACTCAGCAGCTTGCCAATTTCATAAGTGTGGTATGAATAAAGAAAATCTTGCCATTTCATGAGTTTAGCAAGCTCCTAACCAAAAAGGAATAAAGAAACTGAACTAGCTTTCTTTTCAACTAACTTTTAGGCTTTTAGCTGCTTTAATCATTCCATTCATCCAATAAGCTCTTAAGTTAAGATTGGTTCAATTTTTATTTTTATTCTTAACAAGGTGTTAACATGAAAGACTGTTTGATGATATAAATGAATCCCGCATTATTTGATTATATAAAACTTTGGGATTCTTACCTATGAGGACCAATCCTCTGAATTTCTCAAAGTTTTATGGTCAGAAGTAAACAGAAACTTGAATTAATTTTTAAACTACTAGTCCAAGACCATTGCACAACCTAACGCCATATATCGGGTCCGGATGCTGATCGAGATAGAACTATAAGATAACATAGTAACTAACCAGAGCCAGGGCATACTGGATCAGATAATTACTGTAAGCTGCTCCTTCTGGCTGCAAAATAAGAGGGCCAAAAATCCGAAAACTTAATAGCAATAGCTTTTTTTAATGTATATAAAAGAGACCCTTTAACAGCTATTACCTGACATCCAATTAGGCGGTAAAGAAGCTGCTGCAATGCGGGTAACTGTTCCAGTAGCTCATCAGAATTCAGCAAGCGTGTCCTACTATGTACCTGTTAAAGAAGGGATTTCTTGGATTACCAATTTTCCATCCGACTTGAGATTTTAAATCTACGCGTAACAAACCTTGCTTGATCCTGGTGATGTTTTCGTTAAACGTTCTGATTCGATATCATACTTCAAGATTCTGTAACATTCAAGTCGCTCTTCTAGAAAAAGGGCATACGTCCTTACCCATGCAGAACAATCCCAAGCTTCACAATGAAATATTTTGAAATAAAAATTATAAAAGTCCTCCTCATTAGCATACTGGTCAAATTCATAGAAACAAAACCATGCAGAGAAGCAATTTACCAAGAGGACTTGAATCGTCCTTAAAATTAGATATTTGAAGAATGTGTCCTCTGTGTGAATAGTTGAGAAGTTCCTCCCTGAAGGTTGGATCACCCTCTCTCAATGTCCTATGTACAACTATCAACGTCTTCAAGGCAACCTGTCGAAAACAACAGAGTAACAGCCTAAATTTTGATGGCTTCGAGTTTCTAGGGCAGTAATTGCATTAATCTTTTGGCATTTGCGCATTTCATTATCTTTGACCTATCATAAGTTACCAAACGGAGACATCAAATCCGATCTATCCTCCTAAAAGATGAAAAAGAAGAAATATCCCGTCTCATTATAGTATACAATTCATAAACAGGAATCTACAAAATCGGAACGAAAATAGTAGAGAAATTACGATCCAGTTCCGCGTCTTCGACAATCTCTTCGCCAACGCATGAATGCAATACGCCACATCCGCCCGAGGCCTCACCACCGACGTCGCGGAAAATATTTCTGCCAATTGAAATACAAACAGATAGATAATCGACAAGAATTTCATATCACCAACACCGAATCAATCCACGATCAGATATAGAATAACAACTCACTTCGAACATGACGCTCTTTAGGAGGGCACTCGACGTGATTGGTGGCCTTAACAATGGCGATATCCAAATCCTTAAAACAGATTATAGACAAAAAAAACATAGAGAAATCATTCATTAACGAGATTTGGAAATTGGAAAAAGGGGAAAAGCGCGATGATAAACAGGAGGGTTAACCTTGAACTCGCTGTTGACCTTGGCGAGACCGACCTTGGTGGAGTCCTTGAGAGCTCCATAAGCTTTGCGAAAGCTCTGAAACGTGCCCATTGAAATCAGAATCGTTTTGTTTGATCAGAGAGAGAGAGAAAGGAAATGGTGATCATCGTCTCTCCTCCGTCACCGAGTCTTCCATAACAACCAGAACGATCGATTCTCTCTCTCTCTCTCTCTCTCTCTCTCTGTCTCTCTCACCAGAATGTGCGCATCAATGAAGAGGCACAAGCGAGAGAATATTTCTGTATTTTGAAAAAGAGAAAAAATGGGGAAAATATTTTTCTTAAAAGCTCGCGAAAAATGGCGGGTTTCAGTTAATCGTTTTCTGGTTTTTCTTTTTTCTTTTTATTTTTTAAATTTTTTGATTTGATGTGTGATGTTTTTACGATAAACCCCTTGATGTTTCCGCCTTGGATGGCGGGACCGGAAGGCTGATTTCGTAATTGGATTGATGGAATTTCCTCTTGAGTTCTGATTGGTTGGAATGCATCTATCTAGACGTGTTACCGCCACCGGAGGATTTTGGTGCTGGCATTTCCTGTCGAATCTTCCATTTTTCGTTTGTTTTTTTTTTCTTTTTTCCTTTTTGTTTTATGGTTCCGATATAAACTTTTTTATTTTATCGCTAGGGTTTTAAAAAGTTATATATGATTTTTATGATTTGCCTTATTTTTAAATTTTGATATTGAGATGAGTGATCGCCAAAAGCACGAGTAACGAGGAAAGTCTGTAAGATGAACTAACTCAAATGAAGTTTATGTTCAAAGTTAAAGTGAATTAAATCAACTCAAATCCAACTTAATTATGAGCCAATCAGGATGCGACAAAGTCCAATCACAAGAATTAGAGCTTAAGAACTTCAAAAGGCACTTAATGATCACTTTCAAGTTAAAGTATTCGCACCTGATGAAGAGTTGTATCCCTTCAAGTTATTCGTCCAACAAGCTTTATGTATGAAAGTGCAAGATTCATTCTAATATTTAATGCATTTCGTACCTTTCAAATTCATGTAATTGTAGGAAGGTTCATGAATGGATTTGAAGGGGCATTGGTTAAATTTAGACTAGTTTGGTCTACGATCTTGCATTTTCAATTACAATTGTACACTTGTTTTTAAAAAAACAACGTCTTAATAATAAAATTTCAGATTGAGTTAGTTTCTCTCAGGTTTTAAGCTTTCTTTGTATTTTTTTGTGTTTATAAGGTATGTTTAGAACTTTCAATCTTGTTTGATCAATTAGGTTGTTGAGAGTTCGAAATCTTAAAAATAGAAACACGTTCTCCTTTCTTCTTATCGTTGATCATCTTTTCCAAGCAAAAATCTGTTTAGTTTTTCTTGGAATTGGTCTATCATCTAGTTATTAGAGGTATTTGTATCATTGTTGTGAGGTTTACCTTGAATAAATGAGTTATTAAATCAAATAACAAATTCATAGATTTATTAGATACGTTCTAAAGTTAAATATCTATAAACATAATCCTAAAAGTTTATTGATCAAACTTGTAATTTAACGTTTTTTATTTTCTTTAAGAAACGACAAATAAAAACCATTATCAAATATATTTTAATTAAAAAAAAATACTACATCATGAAGAATAGAGAAAATATTCAAGTCTACAACCATAGAGATAAATGCATAACCACTTGGTTTTGTTGGAATGGAAAAACACACTTTCAACATTACACAAAAAGACAGTGAAGTACAATTAGTGCAGTCTAAATCATATAGGTGTAATTTGTAATTGTTTCTTCCAATAAATTGTATCTTAATCAAGTAGTGTAGTCTAAGTCATAGATTCAAATATTCCCAACCATTCATTAAACATGTGCTCCATTATAATACTTGTTAACTCGCTTTTTGGACCGTCTTCTACCCAATACGGTACCCTTCCATTTTTTGATTCCCATTCTTTTTAATTGATGGTATATATGTCTTAACTAATTGAGTTATGTTGAAGTTGATGAAAAAAAAACTAAAAAACATCTTAGTTAATTATTGGTAAAAGACCATAAGTAAAAATTATTAAAAATGGATACCAATATGTTTTTAACAGAACTATGACAACATAAAAACAAGGTTATCTGGAAGTTTATTAAGGTCCCCTAGCATGGGACATATAGTTTCTTTGTTCCCATTCAACAAATAGAAAACTCGTATATATGAATTTGCGTGTTTGATCCATGTTCCAACATTCTCGTTGTTGTAGGTTTTTTCTGTGAACAGGTTCTGAGTTTGATACATGAATTTGATTGTCTTCATTACTTGTTTTCTAACCTCATTGCATAAAATTTATGTCCTACCAATTTATACTTACAAACTCACCTTTCTTATCAACTTTTACATAATCTCAACACGGCTATTAAAATCGTAAGCTCGCTATGCTCCAAACACTATAAAACAAATCCAAACAAAACACACACTTGAGGAAAAAGAGGGGTCGAATTATTAGAACTTTGACCATCTACTTAGTGGCCTTTCTCTCATTGAGCTTTTTGAAATTGATAAAAAAAATTTGAAAACAAGAAAAATTAGAAATTACAAAAAAGAAAGAGAAAGGGAAAGAAAAGAAAAAAGGATGATAATAATTAATGCAATAAAGTAAAAAGTAGCTCTCAAAAAGTGGAAGTTGACAACTCAAAAAGAGTGTTTCTGAATCCTAAAGGCTATTGTCTACCTCTGTTCGCTGGCGCTTGAATTCGGCCTCCTCACAAATCGCCCCTGCCAAAAGGGAAATGTTCTTTTATTTTTCAATCAAATTAAATTGATTTTTATTTAGTTTAATGCCACCCTAAACTTTCAATTTTAAAGTTCGGGGCAGTTGAGAAATATAGTAAAAATATTTAATAAAACTAGTAAATTTAATCTTTTCGAGTATATCGTCAATTTTTTAAAATGACAATTTGCAATATGTACCTCTTATATATATATATGTGATATACATCTAATATACTAATTATATGAGTATTTGTAATCTGATATATGTATGTGATATACTACTTATATAAGTGAAAATTTATGTCATATTTGAAAATTTTAAAAAACAGGTGACATATTTTGAAATACATAAAAGATTTTACTTATTTTGAAATACATAAAAGATTTTTGCTACCCAATGCAATTTTCTTTAAAGTTTTGGAATAGTTCATAATCCAAACTCATACTGTAAGCTTCGTTTTATAACCCTTTCGTGATTTCCTATTTTGAAAAATTAGACATGATTTCTTAAAATTTGACCTTCTATGAAAATACAATTGAATGCTTAGCTAAATTTTGCAAAAACAAAAACTACAATTTTTTTTTTTTTCAATTTGGCTTAGATTTTACGGTGCTTTTAAATGTAGATAACAAAATAAAGAAACACAAAGGGGAAGTAATGTTTTTATATTTAATTTTCAAAAACATTTCTATATTTATTGATTATTGAAGACAGTTTAACTCATCTTATGAACTATATACCAATTATTCAAAGACAATAATAATAAATCATGACATTTTCATCATTAATTTGTGACTCAAAACTATAACAATAAGAACTTAATTTATAAAATTATAAGAACAAGAACTAAATTTATAACCCAATTAAAATTTAAAGGAATTTTAAAAAACTTTAAAGACAATAAAAAAAAGAGTAAATTTAGGATGAAAAACCACATTTTAGAGAGGTTAGAATTAATTTGTTTGATAATCTAGAAGAGTACAATATTCACCTACATACCTTCATTCTGGGTCGTTCATCGGCATTGACTTTTCTCACTTGGTATCTGATTTTCTTTGAGAACAAACGTGTCCGTCGTTTCTCTTTGTATCGTAACACGCTAGCTTCTCTCAACAATCCTCCACTGTCCAAAAATAAATCAACTTGCGCCAGTCTAGTCTGTCAAATTCCAAAAATAGCCATACCATTAAAATAAGCAAGGACAATTCTGTCATTTCAATGTAAAATGAAGCGAAATTCAAATATATATATATATATTGCAAATGTAAAAATTCAAATTTTTATTACTCAACTTTTGAAAAATAAACTTATTTTGGATAGATTACATTTTTTTTTAATCAAAAATTGGTTTTTTAGAACAAGTTTCAGATTTACAATATTACCCTCCCACAAAAGGGCAATATACATTTGAATTAAATGAGGTTCATGATTAGACCATAGATAAATTATTTTCATTATTTTCATTTCTTTTAGATTTTTTCATGAGAAAAGTGACTCACTGACAAGGAAATCTATTATTAGTCAGAGTAAAATAATTTAATATAAACCAATCATGTTATTTTTTATAAAAAGGAGAAAAAAAAAGTCAAAATATTTAAATTCTTTCACCTTGTCTCACAGACCTACATGCTTTAAATCTTATGACTCTAAAGAAAGGGGAGCGTGAAAGCCACGCGCCATCTAAAAGATTATGATTTCTTTAGTTAAATTACTATTTTTTTAGTAATTAAAATAAAGTTGAATTTCAATTTAGTTTTATTGTTGAAAATTTTTAATTCAGTCTTTATAGTTTAATTAAATCTTTCAAAACGCTTCTGCTGATACTATAGGTTGAGAGTTTTCTTACAGTGTCACGTTTTTTTTAGACGAAAAAATTGACATCCAAAAAAATGAGTCTATGTTAAA